AATTTCAAGATTCCACTAAGTGGAGGGGTCCAAGCCACACTCATTACTGACTTGGTCTGTGTGCAATTTGCAATTTCACCCCACTTCCTCAACATGTCATCCATAGTGTAATCTGTGAATAGCTCCAAAGATTTCAGCCACTGAACAGCCCTAATATGTATGATATCCCTCAGATCTGCTGCTCCTCTCTCAGCTTCTGAGAATATCCTGGAGTTTCTTTCTTCCCAAAGTGTCCAACATACTGCAGCCCTTAGTCCTCTCCACATCGTCCTTCCCCTTTTTATCCGCCAAAGAAGGGGAAAAAAGGCCCTACAAGTCTGATGAAGGATTACAACTACATCCAAATAGGGAGAAAACTCAATCCCAAATTGACCTCGCAAAATAGCAAGGCACCAGTAAGTGAAAACTAGTCTCCCCATCCGCTTTACAAAGAACACACCACTGAAGTGACAAGCAAGTATTGGGTCTCTTTTTTTGAAGTAGATCACCAGTGTTGATTCTTTCCAGATAGGCTTCCCAACAAAAACTACCAACCCTAGGAGGTATTGCTCTGCACCAAACCTCATCAACAGAGGTATTGCTCTGCACCAAACCTCATCAACTGGTGGACTAACTTAAGACTTTGAAGAAAGAAGCACAAGAAAAGATGCCATTGGAGTAGATCACCAACGTTTAAAAAAGGCAATCTTTATATCCAGTTGATGCAATTCCTAGTCAAAGTTTGCAACCAATGATAGAAGAACCCAAATTGAGTTCATCTTAGTTATTGGAGCAAACGTCTCATCATATTCAACACCATAGACTTGAGTGTACCCTTTAGCTACCAACCTTGTTTTCTACCTTTTAATTGTCCTATCCGCCTAGTGTTTCACTGCAAACACCCACTTACACCTCACTGGGTCTTCCCCTTTTGGATGATCCACCAACTCCCATGTTTGATTCTTATGGAGGGCATAAATCTCCTCTTTCATAGCATCTATCCATTCATGAAATTTTAAAGACTTTGCAACATTTCTAGGTATGGGGGTGCTACCAACTGCAGATAGGAAGGCACAGTGAAAGGGAGAAATGTGATCACAGGAAACATACTAGGTAATGGGGTGTTTGGTAGTGCATGACCTGACTCCCTTTTTATGAGCAATATGAATGTCAAGATCATCCACAACCGAAGTAGGAGCCAAGGCATCAATTGGTGTAATAGAAAGTGTTGAACTTACCTCCTAGAAATCTGAAGGTGTTGGTTACTCAATGTTTGGTGGCTCCACATCTTTGTCACCTTGCTAATTTCTACGGTGTGTACGTTGAAAGACACGAAAAGGAGCAAGGTCCGAAATAGAAGGAAGAGAGACTTGATGGACCTGGACCTACTTCTCCTCTTTCACGTTACTCTCCCCATGAGGAGAAGTAGGGAAGAACAATTTAGACTTAAAAAAACAAGCATCCATTGAGACAAAGAACTTATGAATAACGGGATCAAAGCATCGATAACCCTTTTTGTGAGGAGGGATACCCCAGAAAGATACAAGGAAAAAATCAAGGGTCCAACTTAATACGAAACGGATATAAATCATGGACAAAGGCACGAAAACCAAACACCCTCATGGGAATGGAAAATAAGGAGACTAAGTTAACAATAACTGATGGGGGCCTTATAGTTCAACACTCTGAAGGGCATGTGATTTATGACATTAGCAGCAGCAAGTACAGCATCAACCCAAAAACATTTGGGAACAAACATTCATATGTAACATCATCCCTCAGGCTACCTCAATGAGCTGTCTGTTCTTTCTTTTTGCAACACCATTTTGTTGTGGTGTTCTTGTACATGAGCTCCTATGAATAGATCCATGAGAGGCAAAGAACTCATTAAGCTCACCATGGAAATATTCTTTCGCATTGTCCGATTGAAAAATCTGAATTTCAACATGAAACCGTGTAAACACCATCCTCTGGAAATCTCTGACGATCTTTGGAATTTCATCGCTGCTATGCATGGGAAATACCCATATATAGCAAGAGAAATCATCAATCAATGTGATAAAATACTTATACCCGCTCTCCGAAGTTATGGTAATACCCCCACACATCAGAATACACAATATGGAAAGAAAAACTTGATCTTTTATTACTTGAATGAAATATTGTTCTACATTACTTGATCAACTGACATGTTTGACAATGGAAATCTAACACTGAACATGACTTAAATAAGTAAAGAAACAAAGACTTCACTATTTCAAAAGACACATGACCTAACCAATTATGCCACAAAAAAAAAATTAACTCTTAGTTGACTGACTATGCAACTCTAAGGATGACACCAAGAAACCGGCCTTGTTGTCAAGAGTGTAGAGAGCATCCACTAAGCTTCCTCTACCAATCGTCCTCCCATAAGTTAGATCCTGAGAAACACATGAATCAAGAAAAGTTTACATTCAGTTTAAAGAGTTTGTGATACTACTATTAAAAAGAAGATTAATGAGAAGCTGAAGGATATGCAAAACATTATTCAAGTTAAGTCCATGAGGAAGGGATATTGATCCTTGACCTATAATAGAGGAGAATGATCCATCTACAAGTCCCACCTTATCACTTCCTAACAAAAGGTTATAAGACTGGAACAAGTTTGGCTTACCGGTCATGTGACTTCCTAAAATCTGTACTCTAAGAGGTTCATATACAAGGTTTAATCCCAACAAAAAGGCAAAAACCCACTACTGAAAAACCAGCTTCTTATAGGCTCTGGTATTATCATCATGTTTCCATTCTATAGCCTGATAGTGGTCCAATTCCTCCTATACTGAGATAAGGGATGAATAGTAGGCTAACAAGTTATGGTTCCCCTGTTTACAAATTAAGGATTCAGCTTGTAACTAGTAGATCTTGGCATAGTGCCTTGGCTCATAATAGGTGGTTTTGGCATGTACCCATATCTCACTCGCATTGTCAGCACACATAAAGTTCTTCTTCACATCAGGTTCCATGGCTACAACAAGCCAAGACATCACCATACTGTTTTCTCGGTCCCACCAATCATGTTCAGCAATCCCACTCTTGGGTTCTTTCACTCTTCCATTTATGTAACATTCCCCTTGCTATTACATAAAGTTTAACACCTTAGCCCACTCCAAGTAGTTTAGGCCATTTAAAGGAGTGATTGGCATAGGATACATCATAGTTTCAGCTCCCATACCGGCTGTACTACGGGTTGATGTAACCCCAGATGAGGCAGAATCATCATTTGCCATTGGTAGAGGCAAGTCTACAAGTCAAAAACAAAGACTGCAGGTGCAAAAGACCAGTCCTCACACAACTACTACCTCTCACAGTCACAATTAGGGCACTAAATCCCACAAACTAATTTAGAAGTAAAGAACTCATTGCTAAGGTCTACTGGTAGAAACTAAACAGTCCAGAAACAAAGAGAACACTACTGTAATCTACTACCAGTCCAAAAAATTTAAAAAATGGTCACCATTGGACTATACACTTCACACACCAATCAATCACAGCACATACATGTGACAAAGGGGATCACCACCCCTGTACAGCACCTGTAGGAAGGTGCAAAACCACGACTAAGCCTTCACAGCATCAACCAAAGGAAAAAAGGAAGCTTCACAGCATCAGCCTCCTACTACTAGGGTTGCCTTGGTGCTACGACCAAGGAAGAACCCAGAAGAAACAGAAAGAAGTGGTTAATCAGTCCAATTAGGGTTTCTTGTCTTCACTGTTCAAGAAATCGGAAACTGGGTTGAATGGATATGATTCAGAGGAAAAAACAATTCGTACTGCCCAAAGTTGCACTCTAATACCATGTTTTCTTCCTAGAAGAGAGAGAAGAGATAGAGGAGAGGAGAAAAGACAGAAGAGAGGAGAAGAGAAGAGGGAGAAAGATGTGCGATAGTCAAAAGGTTGGGCTAGCTGCGCCCAACTTCTCATTTATAATAACATGATGTAAAAAAATAAAAGATAAAGAAATTATAACTATGTCCCTAGCGGCACACCCTAAAAATAAAACTTAAACAAGAGAGAAGAACATGCTGACAGCATTCTAACAGCAGAAATAAAACAATTAAATCCAACAACAGGTATGAAGTAGCAAATTCAGCCACTGTCAAAGACAAGGTAGTCTTGGACTGGAAGCCTCCTCAGCCTAACAGACTAAAGTTAATCTTTGACGGAAGCTCTATAGGAAATCCCGAACTATAAGGAATTGGAGGAGTGTTCAGCGATGATGAAGCCATGAAGGGAAGTGGTAACCCTGTTTTCAGGGCCAATAGGAGTAGAGGACTCGGCAAGAGCAGAAATACAGATTCACCGGCTTTGGTGCAACATAATAACCGGGAGGAAGTTTTGTATCATGGTGATTATCAAAGGCAAGGGAGAAGGAAGAGGAATCCCCTACTCTCCAGCTCAAGATCACATAAATGAAGATGAAAAGCCACAGATATAAAAGAATAGAATGGCAAGAGCTCTAAAACACAAATAGATAAACGTTGCAGACTCAAGAAAAAGAAAAGGTCAGGAATAAATGGAGAAATTAATAAGACACCAAAAAAGTAAACCATTATGTCATGGAGTCCATTATGAACTGTTAGATTGGAAATTCTCAGAGGTGGCAGAAGCTCTTAACCTCCTCCCTTCTTTCTGGGATAACCATTTTATATGATTGAACAGAATAAGAAAGGGAAAAACCTAAAGTTCAGGGATCCAAAACCTCAAAGAATCAGACCCAGATGTATCAAAATAAAAACCTTAAAGCTGTTGAAAATTACTCAAATAGAAGACTGACTAGAAGAGAAGGTAATCAAGATTTAACTAGGACATGCAAAGTAGTAAGAAGCAGGAAAAAGAATGTCAACAGCATATAAAACACAAAAAGTCAAATGTGAAGAGACACATATCAAAACAATTGTAATATAGAGCTAAAGAAGATGAATCAAAATGCCAAAAACACAACAGATAGGGGTACAAATACCATGGGTGGGCACACTTACCAATCCAGAGCCTCCGGAATATGCCATCCTAATATAATTTGAAAAGACATATCCAGAAAAGTTCAAGCTATCGAATACCTAAAAATCCAGAAGGTTCAGATTATAGTTAATGATTTTTGTGCTCAACAAAAAAGGAAAGAAAACAATAAAAAATCAACTTTTGGGAATGGGAGAGGTGAATCACCTCTATTGTATGCTTGAATCCGAAGAGAATGTTTCGAATGGCTAGAAGTTGAATGTACGGGAGATTGCTCCTCGGATCTTCCTTTTTACTTTATTTCCGGAGACGCCGAGGCAAACCAAAGCTAGAGTCTCCTTTTATGGCTTCTTTCTGTTCAAGAGTGGAATAAGACCGGTGGCTGATCTTGGAAGGATGTATAGAAGTGAAGACGCTATTGAAGCGAGAAGTTGGTCAAAGTAGAACAAAATGAGGGTCTTACCAAAACAACAAAATGAAGATGGTGAGGTAACTCGAGATTTAAGATTTTAAATAGCAAACTAAGGGAATAATTAGATAATTAATAATTATTTTTAAATAGTTATTAAAAATAATTAATAATTAATTAATTGTTTTATAATTTAATTTTTTAAATAATTAATAATTATTTATATTTTATATATTATTTTTAATATTTGTTTTACAAAAATAACAATAATTAATTTTAAACCAATGAACAACCCTAGTAGGGACCCATTCGATAAAACCAACCAAACTAACCAACTTGACTCAACTTGACCCAAGTTGGTTAATTTTCTAGTATTTTTGGTGGATTTTGATTTAATAATTTCTTAACTTGACCAAGGTCAATTTCGTTTTGACCATTTCAACCAAAACCAAATTAACCCAACCATAAATATATATTAAATATAAATTTTTTAATATGAAAAAGTGAGAAATTCCTATATTTCTTAGTCTAAAATATTTTATTTTGTAAATTTAAATTTTTAATTTATTTTTTAATTATATGTATTTTTTAAGCTTAAATCTTTTGAACCAACCAACCAAACCGATATAACCCGAGTCAGTTGGTTTCACTAATGGTCAATTGATTTCGGGTGACCTTTCCAACCCGACTAGGTCAATTTTATTGGCCAAACAAACTACAACTAAACAAAACCAACCCGTGAACACTCTTAATTTCAACTAAACTAATAGTCAATCTCTAATAAATAACAATATTTTAATATCCAATAATACAAGGTTTCGTAGATTTAGGTTCAAGGCTGGGGTTGAAGGGGCCTTTCTAGTTAAAATGCTCTCAAATTTGGGGCTTTAAAGGATCGACTTTAAAGGGAAGCTACCGACGTTCAGCGGATTGTCTCAATTGGAGTATGCTTACTTGGGTAATAATGAATTTGATACGATCCCTTCCGACTTTGTCAGCCTTACTAGTTTGTAGGTCCTCTCTTTGGATAACAACCAATAAAAAGGCATCTTATGGCAAAATCATCTTGCCTAAACCGAAAAGGGCATTTTCGACCATAAAAGGGTAAGTTAGGGAATTTTGAAAAATATAACAGTCATATAATGTCACATATGAATGGTTTAGGCAATTGTCATAAACAATAGGGGTGGTGCAAGACAATAGTTAAATAGTAAGGTAGTAGGGTAGTTTAAGAAATTTGCCCTATTTATAATTACGTTCTCCCATTTTGATTCAAGAGTAGAGTATCGGCAATGACATCAATTATAGCATGGAGATATGTAGAAACTATATTCCCTTAAATGTGATGTAAGCTAATTTTTTAAGGAAAAATTCCCGATTAATACCTTGTACTTTGGGCCTAGTGCCACTTTGGTCCCTAAACTTTAAAATGCAACAATCCAATACTCGAACTTTCAAAACATGACAATCCAGTATCTGCTATTAACTAGCTGTTAACCAGCCGTTAAGTGGCATTTGAAAAAGACACAAATGCCCTTCAAGTATCATCTAATTTTCTTTATCAACCATCTAAACATTGACAAAAAATTAACAGTTCCAAATCCTTACCTTTTCCATTCAAGAAAGTTGGGGTCACCAGAATGCCAACTCAAGCATGACCCCAACTTTCTTGAATGGAAAAAGGCATCCGAGTCTTTTTCAAATGCCACTTAACGGTTGGTTAACAGTTAGTTAACAGTAGGTACTGGATTGTCATATTTTGAAAGTTCGGGTACTAAATTGTCGCATTTTAAAGTTCGGAGACCAAAATGGCATTAGGCCCAAAGTACATGGTACTAATCGGGAATTTTCCCTTTTTTTAAAGCAACAAAACTTAACTAACTTACCTTAAACCAACATTTTTTTCATTAAATTCCCTCTTTAGCCTTTTAATCACCAATCAATGACTTCTTTAATTTATTGGTAAATTGTAGAAGACCTCATTCCAATTTTTCGAAAAAAACATAATTAATAATCAATAAAAGAAATAATAAAGTAAATATACAAATTGCATATCTTAAAAAGACCATAGACTTTGTTAGCAATTATAATTAAAATGCATGTTTTTATAAGATATCCTAAAATACCTCCTTATAAACAACATTTTGTGTGGAACCATTTGATTCATTTTCTTTATTTTGTATTAAAATTTCCAGTCCAAATAGAAAAAGTCACATGAGATATAGCAACATATAGAGTTGTCCACGAAAAAAATATGTTTTGGTAAATAGACATCTACATGCTACATTATGTGATCCTACTAATCACAAAGAAAATTGCAATCTTTTTAACATGAATAGTCATTTTTTATTAGTGAGTGAGAGAACAATTCTTGAAATAAATATACTATTCCATGCATTAATCCCTACACATGATGACTCTATTTCCCATCTTTTCAATTATTAAGCAAGTTTCATTGTGTAAACCAATTAATTTATTTAAATTTCATAGAAGGAATACAAGAGCCTCAATTTTTAATTTTAAGTGGTGGTTTGGAAAACCGGCTTTCATCACTTATTTTTTCAATATGAATGGCCAAACAACTCTGTGAAAGTAACTTAACCGAATAACTTCTTTCTTTGATGGGTCTACAACTAACTATTTGTTTGAAAAATGTACTATGAGTGTTAGATGTGTTATTATTTTTATTTTCTTTAATTAATTATTTCACAACTATCATAAATCTTTTACCAAAATAGGAATATCATATACCAATTTTTGCATACGCTTAGAAATTGGTCCATAAACAAGGAAGTTAGTTTTGATTACAATTGAAGATCTAGGTGTTTTTGATTTCTTAGTGAATGAGCATTTAAAACAGCTAGTCTCTTTATGATAAATAGAAACTAATATGTTTTGTGATTACTTTATTTTTATTGTAAGGGAGGATAGGACATTGCAAGTTGAGGCCGTTTTTTCTTTTCAAATACTTGTAGTAAGGATGTAGTTCAGCTATTGTTATTGATATTGTCCAATCCAAGGTGCGCCAAATTGAGGATGCTGTCAGATAGCTAATTGGACGAGGCTGAGGTAGAATGATGAAGTCGTGTACTGAGGCTATCTACAAGTACAAGGAGGGTTAGAGGCCTGAGGAGTTGTTCCCCAGATAGGCATTCTAACTCTCAAGTCAATAGAAAGACAGGAAATTGGGACGAGCAGAAAAGAGTAGGTTTGTCTAAACCGAGGTGAATGCAATGGATGCTAAAGTGAGTCGAGGGTCAAAAGTCCTTTATCTTGAGGAGGATATGCCTATATATAGCCGAACACCCATTTGTAGTCAGATTAGGCCTGTAGGGTTATCGGGATGAGGTTACTCACCGATGTGCTTAGAGGGCTCCCCTTTTAATTTCCTTGGTAGAATACATTTCCATGTCCGTGTGAAACTCTTTTCCTTGGTCCACCCATCTGCAATGTGGCCATGTTGTACGGTGCTAACATGGTCTAAGGAGTTCTACTATAGAGATTGACATGTGGCATCCTAGAATACCTCAAACACTACCCGAACAATTATTTCAGTAGGAGTTTCCTTTCTTCTCTTAGGTGATGTCTTATCACCTTTCTTATGTACCTTCTTTTTCCTTTTTTAATGAATTTTTAGTTTACTTGAAAAAAAAAATTCCTCGACGCAAGTTTATATGTCATCCTAATAGGTAGCGGTTGAAAGTGAAATGACTAGAGAAGGAAGGAGGTTTCACCAAGGCTATGTTTGGTTTGAAGGAAAAGGTAGGGAAAGGGAGGGAAACCTTTAGGCTCCGTTTGGCTTGTGGGAAGATTTGGGTGGGATGGGAAAAGATGGGATGGGACGGGATGGGAAAGTGTAAAAATTTAACTTTCTAGTGTTTGGTTTAATATATGGAAAATAAAGGAAAAGCACTGTTGGTTCTTTGCTGGAAGAAGAAGAAGAAGAAGAAGAAGGTGAGGGAAGAAGACGGGAAGAACAGGGAATAGGGAAGCATTGTTGGTTCACCACCATAAAAGACTATTGGTTCTTTGCCGCTGCCTGGTTCTTCGCCATTGCCTGGTTCTCTTTGCCGCTGCCTAGTTCACTGCAGATTTGGTGAAGACGGGAAGAATAGGAGTGCCCCTCGCAGATCGCCGCAGGATCTGGTGAAGACGGAAAGAAGGTGAGGGAGAAGAGAGAAGAGGAAGATGGAGGGAGATCGCCACTACCCCTTGCACTGGTTCCTTGCCAAGTGAAGAAGAAGGCCAATAACGGTGATTCTTTCGATTGTAACAATGCTTTTCCAAATTTTTCCACCAGGGTCCACGGTTTTGGTGCAACCCCAAATTCATGATTTGGGATCTGATATCCCACATTTTTCTCATCCCATCCCTCTCTTTCCCTCAAAACAAATGAGAGAAAAAGGAATATTTTCGAAATATTCCATTTTTCTCATCCTCATTCCACAAACCAAATGGAGCCTTACCTTGTATAGGTTTCCCTGTCTTTTCCTTCCTTTCCCTACCTTTTCCTTCAAACCAAACTTAGCCCAAAGGTCTAAGTAGAACGTATTATAATAATGAACTTATTTTAATTAATAAAATTTACGATTATGTTAAAAATCTACTTAGAGATATTAAGCTAGATATAAAACGAGTGATGATTGAAAGTGAAAATGCAAAAGGAGTGGGAATGGGTCTTACAGGCTAATGGTTAATTGTTGATTTATAAGTCCATTGGAAACCTTGTGTTTACATTTGATAAGGTCATTTCATTTAATTAATTATTAATTTATTTTATTTGATATGATTTTTGTTAATTAAAAACCCAAGACAATATAAATTTCTTACTCGGGCCAACCCAAGTTGCACCCCTAATTCAATGCACTGAAACCCTCCTAATTCCTAAACGGGCTCTTATCACTACTCCGCCACTGTGTCAGCAGGAATACTCAAGTCAAAACCTTGGATTCCGGCTTTGAGTCATCTGATTGGTTTTACCATCTTGAATTGGGATCTGTTCCTCACACAGGGTGTCTCACACCGATCTTACATGTACATCTCATCATGCATTGACAATATTTCC